CCACTTCTGAGTATTTATTCAAAAGAACTGAAATCAGGGTCTCAAAGAGATATTAGCACTCCTACGTTCACTGCAGCTCTATGCACAAGAGCCAGATGTGGAAACAACCTAGATGTCCAACAGATGAATAAAAAGAAAGAAAATGAGGGATGTACCATACAATGGAACTGTATTTGTCCTTTAAAAAGGGGAAATTCTTCAATATGCGACAACATGGGTGAACCCTGAGGACATGGTACTAAGGAACTATCCAATCACAGAAAAAAACTAATAGTGCCTGGTTCCACAGTGATGAAGTATCTTAAAAAGTCAAATTCATAGCAATAAAGAGTAGAACGGGCATCAAGTCTGCATCAAGCAAGATGAATACGCTCTAGAGATCTGCTATCCAACACTGCACCTGCAGTCAACAATACATACTGTACACTCAGAAATCTGTTAAAAGGGTAGGTCTCGTGTTAAATGTTCTTTAAATTAAACATTTAAATGTAAAATGTTCCATATTAACATTAATTTTTAAGGGGTGGAAAAAAAACGTCACAAACCATTTCCACTGTGCCCAGCAAAGGGGAAAATGTCTGTTTTGCTCGTCCCCAAATAGCTAAAGCTTAGCGACAAAATCTTCTTCCTCTCCCTGAATCTCACTCCATTACTACCACCTTCTTTCTTTTTTTTTTAATATATTTTATTGATTTTTTACACAGAGGAAGGGAGAGAGATAGAGAGTTAGAAACATCGATGAGAGAGAAACATCAATCAGCTGCCTCCTGCACATCTCCTACTGGGGATGTGCCTGCAACCAAGGTACATGCCCTTGACCGGAATCGAACCTGGGACCTTTCAGTCCGCAGACCGACGCTCTATCCACTGAGCCAAACCGGTTTCGGCCACCTTCTTTCTTATGATGCACCTTGAACAAAGAAAATGGAAACTCAAGTCTCTCATCAGGAGTCTGCCCCAGTGATGCTAACAGAAAATGCAAGGTCAGGCGCGTTAGGGAAGAGAAGAGGCAAACTCTCGAAATGATCTTTTTAAAACATCCCAGTAGCCCAAACCCGAGGATTCCTTTTGTATGTCTATCTCCAGTTATCATACCACATATAAAAGGGGGCTAATGATACTATTAGGATTTAAAGCTATTAAGTTAATTAATGTCAAGTGCTGGATTGCTGAGTTAGATATGGGACTGCTGAGTTTTATATCAATGCTGAACGAACTGGAAAGATTCTAAAGAGACCAACTAAAACAGTGATGCAAGCCAGTGGCACTCTGCCTGGAGAATTCCTGGAGACTACAGAACTTCCAGATGCAAAAAGCGGGGAATAAAAAAGGGCTGAGCAGTCGGCCAGAAACCTCCGAATTCAGATGAAATAGACCAGTCATTCTGAATAGTCAGTATTCCTACGTTTCCCCTCAGAGGCCCTCAAAAGATGCTGGGTCCTGAGCCTGCTCCCAGGGGTTCCGATGCAAGTGGTCTGGTGTGAGGCCTGGAATCTACATTATAATAAACATCTGGTGATCTCTGGGCTGATGGTCCAAATCCACACTTTGACAAACATGACCGCCTTTCCCACAAAGTTCTATTCAGTGGCTTTGCTTGTGGGTAATGAACATTTCTCCTTCAGCACGAGACTGAAAGGGAAGAAGTGGAACTTTAATCTTTAAGCTCGGTAAATGCTCAGGATAATTAATAGAGACTGGTTACTTGCTGGAAAATGAAGTATTCATCTACACACACACCATGGGTTGGGTAAAAAATAAATTATGTTTAGATGATTTAATGTTTCTCTGAGATGAAATAAATTCAATGGCTGAGTGAAAGGCAATAGGCAAACTATCTATCACCTGAAGTTAACGGCTAAGCTAATATTTCAACCACCTATCTTGAAAGGGAAACTTGGGCCAAGAACATAACAGGACAACTATATTTAGAAATATAGCCCGGGAAGGGTTAAATACAATCACATCTGAAAAAATGGCTATGGCTAATCCACATAAACCCGGAAGGAGGTGGTGGGGTCCAAGGTGGCCTAATATTTTCAAAAATAACTTGAAAGATGGAGTGGGGATTATGCAAATCAAACCACAGATGATGCAAAAATGGCAGCAATCAGGAATCTGCGGAGAATAAAATTGAACTATTGGGCAATGTCTTTAAAATTGCCTTTATTGAATCCTATATGTTGAAGCCACATATTATTATATGTCTTTACTGAGACTCAATAGGGCCAAATGCAAAGTGATTTATGGACAAAGAAATGATCAAATGCATAAGTAGAAAAGAGCGCAGACACAGAGAGGCATTAGCGACTTCTGACCGTGTGGGAGTCACGGGCACACAGTGCAATGGGGCGCTACAGATGTGGGTGGCGTTAAGAAGTGATGTGTAAAAATAAACAGGGAAACGTGTCTGTTACTCTTTCAGCCAAACAGCCTTGGCGCTACTTCCCCTGGGAGTGCTGGAAGGGAATTGAGCGCAGGCTGTCACGGAGGTTACGGGACGTACCCCAGGTAAACGGAGAATACAAGGAGAGGTTAAGAGCGCCTCCAGAACAAAATGCTCAACGTACCTATTTGATGGGGAAAGATGCACAAAAGATAAGGGAGCCTCTAGAAGGGAAACATTTCAGTTCCTATTAAGGAGAAACAATCATGCCAAGCGCTATTAGAAGCATGGAAGAAAGGTCAGCTTATGGTAACACCATCCCTGGGGAATTCAAGGAGGTGACCAGACACCTCTTGACTTAGGATGCATTAGAGATTATTAAAAGCATTCCTTGCTGAGTACTGGGGTGCAGAGTGGGCCTCATGACCTCTCCAAAGGTCATTTCTATCCCAAAGGATCACATGTCTGAAGGGCACCAGATAAAAATAAAGTCTATTAATCACTGAGCTGCCACACAATTTCCTAAGAGAGCCAGAAAGAGAAGGGCAATCCAGGGTGGACCTTACTCCCCTGACAGAGGAAAGGGAGGCAATGCCTGTGCAGGCAGAGCCAAGAAGTCCGACAGGGAGACTTCCAGAAAGCCCACATCAGGCCTGTAATCAGGCCTCCAAGTTCCACAGCATAAACAGAAGGAGGAAAAGACCCGGTGGGGAGGGAACAGGAAAAGCAAATGGCACTGAGAGCCCTATACAAAGCCTCCGGAGCTGGGGGAGAGGGTGTGCTGCAAGCACTTTGTGCAGAGAGAGGGGGCCAGGCAAGAGAGGGACACCACAAGGGCGCTTTGTGGAGGCAGATGACAAAGGAGTGAGGAGAGGGGCTGAGAGAAGGTGAAGGACACATGGTGTGTCTGGGAATATAGGGGCCTATCATTGGCTGAGAACCCGATGAAAGGTGTAGTGATCGAGCAAAAAGTAATTCCACCATCTATGGCAGCACAAAAATCACGTAATAAAAATAAAGTTTTTAAAAGAGGAAGCACAAGGCAAAGCCCCAGTTCCAAAGCAGCTGCTGGCACTCTCGTTGGCAACTGGCTGGCACAGTCGGAAAGCCCGTTCTGGGGGGGCCTGAGGACCTTCCCAGGGCCAGGTTGGGCTTTGATGAACCCCATTTAGGAGGCAAGACCCAGGCCAAAGTAGGCACCTCCTGGTATGGCAAGAAGGATCAGGCCCCAGGCCCTGCTCTCCCCTCATCCTAAAATGGAGTTGCTTTGGGATAGAGATGTTACCTGCAGTTGTGTCACGAATGTCATCTGCATGGTGTGTTCAGAAGCCAAGTGGATTAACCGAAGAACTTATAAACTAGTGCATATATGTGTAACCCATGGACACAGACCATAGTGCGGTGCAGGCCTGGGGGTGGGGTGGGGCAGACCTGAGGTGGAGCGGGGGCGGGGGGGGGGGGGCATCTGTAATACTTTCAACAATAAAGATAACTTCTTAAAAAAATAAGCCGAGTAAGGGTCATGGAGTTGGTCTTCTAGCAAAATATTCTCCAACCAGCTGTCACCTCACTGGCCACAGAACAACTTCTTGAAATCAAGAGTCCAGTGAAGAAGGAGGGAAATGGCACCACCTCCAAAGTACCCCCTAAGCCCCATCTTCCCAGTTCTCCCCCTGCTCCCACAGAGACTGCAAACGCTGGCGGCGAGATGGGCGGGACGCCGGGAGGGACCGCTGCACCAGGGCCCTGCCTCAGCCACTTTGCTGCCATTCTCACCGCAGCACGCTGCGCCCTGTGGCAGAGCTGGGCATCCTCAGAGAGGGGAGAAGATGGAAGGGAAGATGGTCAGGGGGTGTGGCTTTGAGTGCTGCCCTTGCCATGGAGTGAGCAGATGGTGCTCGATACAGTGAGAAGACAACTAGGGCAGGGATTTTAAACCCACCACCCAATGCTCTGGCAGGTGAGAAAGACAAAAGCTCTCCAGCTGACAGCAAAGCCTATACCTCTGACACCAGTCCCTGGTCCACCCACCACCACGCTCCCGGCACTCTCTCGCTCGGTCCTCCCCAGCTCTGCCTGCTGACCCCACACCCAGGAGCCAGGCAGCCGCTTGTCCAAAAGATGTTTCTGAATCAGGCAAGAAAGGCTGGAGATGGATCAAGGGCCATTTATTAACTAAGTGATCATCAGAGAAAGAGTCATAATTTGCCCTATGTAGGACGGGAGGAAGAGAAAAAGGAAATTAAAGGGAAACAAATGACAAACGACAGAAACCAAGGACTTTTGTTGGAGGATTCTGAGTTATGCTTTTGTTTGTAATTCTCTGAAGTAGAGAAAGAAATAGGGATCTGAAGGAGACAGAGTGAGAGAGACAGAGAAAAGCTACAAAGAAGGTACTGCCAGAGAGAGGAGCACAGCACCCAAAGCCTCCCACTTGCTCTCCTCATGCAGAAACATGAGGCAGAGAGGAGGTGGGGACTGAAGGGAGGTGCAGGCCCCAGAGGAGGAGCCAGCAAGCCTGGGCCGGGGGCTGACAGGCAGGGAAGCACAGGAATGGTGGGGACAGGGGTAAGGGCAGGGGCAGGCGAAGGAAGGCGGTGTCGCCTGTACTTACTGTCACAGACGTAAGGTTTGTCGTGGTCTTCCTGAGAGGTGGGGTCATGCCTCCTCCTGCCACCGGCAGAGCCACGGGCCTGGGGAGACATGGGATGTCATATGCTTGTTACTCTGGCCATCACCACAGGCCCTGAGCACGTACTGTGAGGCCCCGAGTGCTTCCGCTGCATCTCCTCGTTCCCTTTCACCACATTTGTGCCCATGCCAACCCCCTTTCATAGGCCAGGAAACGAAGACCCAGAGAAGTGAGGTAACTTACCCCAAATCGCTCAGCTACTCACAAATCCCAGAGGGAGACACTACTATGGGCTCCACTTAACAGATCAGGAGACCGAGGCAACTGGAGAGGGTAGGCAGCTGGTGTAAGGTCACTCAGCGGCTAAGTGCAGAGCCAGGACATTAACTCAGGACAGTCCCGCTGCAAAGCCTCTACCGACCAAGTGTCCTGACTCTCCTGTTGCTAGTAGGACCTCTTCCTCCAACTCCTTAGCCTTGCAGCTCTGTTGCTACCAAATGGAGATGCCAACTGGCTCCCCTCAGCTGATCAGATGACGGGCGTGTTGGAGCAAGTAGCATAATTACAGTTATCAGGCCAGACCCCTTTGTTCACACTCCCCCACTCAAGTCTCTCAAGAGCCAGCCAGGCCTGGCATCGGGGCACAGGGCATGAGGCCGGCTCAGCCAACTCCAGAGGGGTGGGCTTCAGCCGAGGCCTCCCTGTGCGGTCTGCCGTGAGCCTCCGGCCAGTGACAGAAACCTTGGCTGCTCATGGCCTCCTGAAGCTGGACCGCTGACACCCGCACCCATGTGCACCTCCAGAAAGAGTCGGCACAGCCTGGGCAGAGGTGGGATAAGCTCTACCTCGAGACTAGAAGAGACCAGCTGGAGAGGGAGCGGGCGGCTCTGCGGCCCCAGGACAGTAGCTGCAAGAATGCAGCAAGGTTTATTTTTAAAACTTGAAAAGTCCCACACTGGTCACGTGTGTAGCACCCTAGCCTCCTCAGGGTCATTCTCTGGTAATGAGTAGCAGTAAACTCCCAACCAGGAAAGGGCCTGCCGGGTCTTTGGGGACAGAGAGAAAGGCACAGCAGATGAGAAGTAAAATGGCAGCAACCTGGAATGCAGGGAAGATGGGGCAGTCCCAGGGGCCTGGCCCAGAAAAGTAGCCCTGAGGACTTCAGGGTCAAAAGGCCTGAGATGTTTGCTTGTGTATGCATGCTCACTCTCTTTCTCACCCGCCACCTCACCTCACCTACCTCTCTCTCTCTCTCACACACACACACACACACTTCACAATCAACACCACCTGGCAAGCAAATTACAAAATCCCACCCCCCTCCTCCCTCCCTTCCACTGCTCTTTCCCTCCCTTTGCCTCCCAGCCCCTCACCCCTATACACATGACAGCCAGCAGCCCCCTCCCCTCGCCCTCATTACTCAGTTGACCCAAAGAGGGAGCTGTGAGGTGCACTGGCAGTCACCCTGAGGCACTGACAGGCTTCCCAGCCTGCCCATGACACGGAGGGTGGTCACCCTCAGCTGCCCTTGCCCACCCCCACCCCACCCCACCCCCACCCCCCCACACACACACACACCCTCGGTGAAGCCAGGGACAGCTTGACGTGTGCAGCCCGCAGCCATCACAGTCGCCTGGGAGTAGGTGAAAGCAAGTCAGGCAGAATGACGAGGCAGCAGCAGTCCCAAGGAAGGGGCTCTTAAAGACTAAAAATACCAGCAGGGACAGGAGGCGCTTTGCGGAACTGGAGGCTCAGAGGGGAAGAGGAGGGCCCGGCTGAGAGCCCAGGTTTCATTTCACTCTGCAGAGCTGACCAGCCAGGTGACTACAGGCTCCCACACTCTCCCTGCACCTCAGTTTCCTCAACTGCAAAAAGGGGGGGGCGGGTCATAGCTATAGAACACTGAGGGCACATGCCAGGGATTCTTCCTGGCAGTAGCTCTCTAGTCTCCCAGAATCGCTCAAGCTTGGAAACTCAGAATCCTACTCATCTTATTCAAATGCCACCTCCTCAAAGAAGCCCTCCCTGATCAACTTTTTTAAAAATATATTGATTTGAGAAATAGAAACATCAATAATGAGAGAATCATGGATTGGCTGCCTCCTGCACACCCACATTGGGGGTCGAGCCCACAACCCAGGCATGTGTCCTGACCGGGAATTGAACCATGACCCCCTGGTTCATAGGTCGACGCTCAACCACTGAGCTACGCCAGCTGGGCTCCCTGATCAACTTCTGTCCACTCATACCCTCTCCATTGTTCTCTTTCCCCATCTTGCTTTCTGTTTTATCCCACACTTAACATTGTCTGACATCCTATCACACACATGTTGGTGTACTTGATTTTCTTGTCACCCCCATATGAGGGTGAAGCACATGTCTATTTTGGCTACAACTGTCCTTGGAACCTGGCATGGGGCCAGCCATTCAAGAAGCACTTAATAAACACTTGCTGAAGAAATGAATCAATCAATCCGTGGGTGGATCAGTATGTCCATCATCTTTGGTTCTTCTCTTTTATCCTCTATATCCATGTGCTATTGTTCCTTCCTTCAAAGGTCATCTTAGGCTTTGCATTTCCCAACTAGTCCACATTTTAATCCAGGAGCTCATCAACTGACCTCCACACTGCTCAAAGAACCCACAAGCTGGGGTTCTACCTCTGCATTGCCCTACCCAATCCATCCTGTATGACTCCTAGACCAATTAGACAAAAGGAGTGAAGGGCCTGGCCGGTGTTGCTCAGTGGTTGAGCATCGATCCATGAACCAGGAGGTCATGGTTCAATTCCCTACCAGGGCACATGTCCGGCTTTGAGGCTCAATAGCCAGTAGGAGGCATGCAGGAGGCAGCAGATCAGTGATTCTCTCTCATCATTGATGTTTCTATCCCTCTTTCCCTCTCCCTTCTTCTCTCTGAAATCAATAAAAACATATAAAAAAAAAAAAGGAGTGAAGGACAGGAACCAATGGCCATTCATTCATTGCCATCTAAAACCCACTGACATCCAATGGTGACTTAATGCCAATGCCCCTAGGTTCACCTCAAGCTCACGCCTTTATTTTTAATGATGTCTGTCTTGGACCTGCCTCTCTGCCCATCCCCATCTGATCCATGCTTTAGCCCTGCTAACATTCCACTCCTCCAAGAATCTTCTTCTCGCCACATTGATGAGTAAAAAAACATCAGCTTTAATGTCAGACACAGGTTTAAATACCAGCCATGTGTCTTTGGACAAGTTGCTTCTCTAAGCTTTACCTTTCTTAACTGTAAAATGGGCCTAGCAACATCTCTACTGCAGGGTTGCTGAAAAAGAACTAAGGGTGTGTGAAACCACAGAGGACAGTGCTACGTCTACAGGAAGTGCTCAACAAATTATTTCCCCTCGATGCCCAAGCTGATCTCTCTTTCCTCTGAACTCTCACTGCATTTGGTTAGTGCACAGTCAAAAGCCTGTGCTTTCTAATTGTATCATGGCTGTTGCTATTTTCTCCTCAATTTAATTCCAACATCCTTGAGAGCAAAGATGCATTTCATACTTTATTATGAATCCCCAACCCTTAGCACTATGGCATCTGAAGCGCTTTCACATATACCACTTCATTTAATTCCTACAATAACCTACGAATTAGAGCAAATACTATTATTCCCATTTGACACTTGATAAAACAGGTCCAGGGAGGGTTCACAACTTGTCCATAGTCTGAGAGCCAGCAGAAGAAACAGGACCAAGGTTTCCAGACTCTGTTATAGAAAACTTTGAAGCTGGTTACCCAAAAGAAACCAGTTCTCCCTCTCTGAGACGTGCCCACCCCACTCCACTCCATTTCTCATTCACACACTGGTAGGCCATGGCAGCCATGACTGCACCGCATGGCACTGCTCTGTCTGGCCACAGCTGATTGGCTGGCTCAGGAGTGGACACCTGACCAGAGCAGATTCTAGTTCCAAAGAACTTGGAATTTGGAAACAGTTGGTTAGTACAGGCAGCTGACCTAGGGACCTATCAGTGCAGGAGCCATGGCGGTCATGTGCACAGAGAGGCAGAAAAGGCAGTTGTGGGAGAGAAGAATGAAGAAGTAGAGGCCAGAAGCTTCCAGAGTACTTTACTCTTCCCCAGTCCCGAGTCCCTGCCACTCTCTTGCCCTTCCTGAGGTTTCAATCTTCATTGCTCAAAGTTGGAGCAATGTCCCAGCGGCTTTTCAAATACTTCCCATTTTTGCTTAAGCTGTTAAATGTCCTACAAGTTAAAGGCCCCGACTGGGACAGACTCAGAGAGCTAGACCCTCTATACCAGTTGTTTTCAAATAGTATCTCAAGAAATCCTGGGGGTCCCTGAGACCCTTTCAGGGGGTCTTCAATGTCAAAAATATTTTGTAATAGTACTAAACGTCTTTGAAATTTTTCACTCTCATTCCCTCACGAGCGCACAGAGGAGTTTTAGAGGCCACAGGACATGATGAGGTCATCACTGTGTGCTCGTGAATACTTACATTTAACACTTTTTCTCTTTTGATAAGTAGCACTAGTTATAACCTATCATAACAATAGCTTTTGGGAGGGTCTCTCAGTTATTTTTAAGAGCTCCTGAGACACCCCCCCAAAAAAACTGAGAACCACTGCTCTATCTCTTGGCTATTTAAAGTGTGGTCCTCAGACCAGCACTGACATCATCAGCCCGGAGCTTGTAGACCAGGCAAGATCTGAGTCCCCACCTCCAAGACCAACTGCATCATAATTTGCAGCTTAGTAAGATCACCATGTGCTTCGTGTGCACATTAAAGTTTGAGAAGCACTGAACTATACCACAACGCATCAATAAATACTTCCTGACTGACTGATCTACTTATTGATAACATGGATGATTCCCAAGAATTTTATGAATGTTAAAGAGCTTAGATTTCTTGGAGTAAAGTTACCACAAACACAATCGTTAATTGTTGGGTCCGAATTTCTTTCACCCTTCAGGGAATCTCCACTGTCAGAACTCTGAGAGTTGTTATTCCCTTTGCTGTACCCTCCTAATAATATCTGGCCTTTTGTTAAGCACTCAAAATTGGCTGTGTATTTTAATGATGAAGAAACTGAAGCTCAGAGTACATATATAATTTGGTCAAGGTCACAGAGGTTACATAATTCACCCAAAGTCTAGTAAGTGGTGGGGCTGGGATTTGAACTCGCGGTTCAAACAAGACAGAGGCTGTTCTTGTAAACGCTACCTTAGGCCTGGCTTCCTCAATGAGCACACAAAGCACCCGGGGCCTCAGTAAAGGACAGACGCTCATCCAGCCCATCTAGGGTGAAGTGTGGGGTCCTGCAGTTCTCACAGTCTCCCAGGTGATACTGATGCTGAGATGCATGGCCTTAAACTGCCTTTCAGTCCTGGCAACAGAAATGGGTGTGACTGTTCTCCAGGAGCCAACAGCAGCTTAAACACACCACTGTAAAGGATGACTTAATTGCGCAGCTTAGTATACTTATTCCATCCCAGATAGGCCCGCCTACACTCATCAGGGTCCTCCTAAGGCTCCCACCATGGGTGACAGGTCCACAATGTCACTGCACAATGTAGAGCCATTCAACTGCCCCTTGGCCATCATAAGGTGGGCCCGGTGCTGGTCTAGGCCCCATCCAGCCCCAGACCTTCTCTCAGCTCCCACAAGCTAAAATATGACTGTTCTTTCTTTTTCCATCATTCAATCATTCATTCAAAAAAGTGGTCACTGGCCACATGCTAGGGACTGGGCCACACGTGACCCAATGGAAAAAACCACAGAGTATGTTCAAATCCTGACTTCTTCCTTACTAGGTTGGATGACCTTCAGCAAGTTACTTAACCTCTCTGGAAATAATAATATCAACTTATGGGAATAAAAGAAGCAGTGCTGGCCAATAGAAATACAATGCAAGCCACACATGTCATCTTAAGTTTTCCAGTAGACACATCTTACTTTTTTTTTTAAGTAAAAAGATAAATAGGTTCAATTAATTTTAGTAACACATTTTACTTAACCTAACATAGCCAACATATTATCATTTCAATATGGAATCAATAAAAAAATATGAAGATGTTCTGCATTCTTTTTGTACTATGTCTTCGAAATCTGTTGTATATTTCACACTTGCAGCACATTTCAGTTTGAACCAGCAACACTGTACATGCTCACAGCCACAGTGGCCAGTGCAGGAGATGAAGTTTGAAGTGCTCAGTCATCACTCTCCATATGTCAGCTCGTACTGTAACTAGCCCATCACAGTGCCTGGTATACAGTAAGTACAGTAAGTAAAAATGGCTGCTACTACTGCTACTGCTAATGTTCCTACCAAAACCCCCTACTCATGTTCAATGACTGTGAGTTCAATCACTGATGTTTAGGTTGGGAATGGAGAAGATTTGAAGACCATCCTCCTTCCACAATCGACTCGCCTAAGTTTGGTTTGGGCTAAGGAAAGGGAAGGAAGCAGGCTTGGAGGTGACACACAGCTCTTGAAGCTCACAAAAAAAGCCCAGAAATTCTACATTCTAAAGCCTCCTTCAATGATAGAATCACATATTCATTATTTTGCAACCTCCAATGAACTCATGGGTCGAGGCAAGTTCATCAGTGGCTGCTAAAACAATTAGTTGAAAACTCAATGGAAAGCTTATAGAAAGAGATCAGGCTGACAACACCCAAATCCTCCTATCAATCTTAGCACCACCAGAAGCAGAACACCTAGACAACATGCGCCTCCGGATGTGATGCAATAAGATGCATACATCACACCTGGGAAAGATTCTTGCCCCACCAAAAAAAATATTTATACACATAAATATCCTGAATCTAATCAACTCTCTAATCAAACCAACAGTTTTCAGGAAATAAAGAGGACAGAGGAATACTTTAAATAGTATCAGTCTGCCAACTCTAGAATGTGAGAAATTCCTCAAGATCAACCACCCAACTTCTTCAACAAATAAATGGCATGGAGAAAAAAAAACACATGTGTGTGGGAGGGTATAGCAGAGAAAAGTCATCAGAGACTTGATAGTAGATATTAGAATAGTTGTTCTTTTTATTGGGTATGATAGTGATATGTTAGAGATATACACTGAGATATACGCAGGTTAAATGATAAAATGTCTAGGAATTGCTTTCAAATATTTCACACATAAAAAAAGAACATGCTAGCCCTGGCCGGTGGTTAGAGCGTCGGCCCACAGACCAAAGGGTCGAGGGTTCGATTCCCAGTCAGGGGCACATACCTGGATTGCCAGTTCAATGTCTCTCTCACATTGATGTTTCTCCCTTTCTCTCTCGCCCTTCTCCCCTCCCTTCTCCTCTCTCTAAAAAGCAATGGGGAAAAATATCCTCGAATTTTTTTAAAAAATAAAATAAAACATGCAAACCAAGAAAAAGTGAAAGAAAAGAACAGATATAACAAGAGTGTCAAAAGGTGATCATAGCTGAAGCGGGATGCCAACTATATAAGGTATGCAGCATCAAAGGGCTGCCCTCCCCAGACTCGGAAATTCCGGCTTCTGTCAACAGGTTGGAGCGATTCAGCTCAGTGTGGGCAGAGCTGAGCACTTGTACCAGTGACCTATCATTATGATATAGCTTTCCAGGCCCCATCTCAGACCTCCCAAAGCAGAACTTCTGGGGTTGGGTCCTAGGGACCTGCATTCTGAAAGGCTTTGTTGGTGGGTCTGCTGTATACTAAGGCACAGGAACCACATAGAGAGGTATGCCAATAATTAGCACTAGATCAAAACCCACGGAGCACCCAGGACTAGCCTCTTGTCCATGAAAAACATAGGGTCCTGCCTGCAGCCTGAAGGAGCCAGACAGGACTAAGAGTTCATTCTCGATGAAGAGCAGCGGTTTACTCCCAGAGGTCCTCTGCACCTGGTTACTGTCAGATGCCCTTGCAGACCCATGAAGATGACCACAAAAGGCCCCTTTGGGCTTGAACATGAGCACTCTGGAGGACCAACCTGAATACCTAAGTTTGGTTTGGTTCCCTCCCCTTAAGGGTCATTCTCATATTTTTATTCCTTCCACCACAGAATTCCCCTCTGCCTTTCCCCAGGTTTCTGGTGTTTTCTTGCCACATCCCACCAGCCTCCAAAGCCCAGGCCATACCTGCTTGGGAACCACCAGCTGTGGGCCTACTCTCTGCCTAATGAAACACACCCCAAAGCAGGTGTCCTGACCCTGTCATTCTGGGGCAGCCTGGGGGGCGGGGGGGGGGGGCGGGCAGGAAACTTTCAGCCTTCTTCGAGGCCAAGAAACAGGGACAACTATCACATTTTCCTTGTTCTCCACCCTCCCTCTGTTCCCACCCCCAACCTCCCCTAAGTCTCAGCATCCCCCTCCCCTCGAGGCACCCTCTGCCTCTTCTCCCTCTTGCCAGCCCTGAACTCTTGCAGGCTATCACCCAGGATCAGAGCCTCTGGTGTTTTCCGCTCCGGGAATTCTGCAAGGAAGACCATGGATGTTCTCTTCTCTCTCTCTCTCTCTCTCTCTCTCTCTCTCTCTCTCTCTCTCTCTCTCTCGTTGCAGTGGGGCCTCGCCTCCCTGATTTCTCTCATCCCTCCTGGCATCCCAGCTTACCCGTCCTCTGGTCCTGTTCTTTCGCTTGGGAATATCCTCTTCTAAATCCTCTTCTTCATTGCCTTCTTCTACATTTTCGTCGTTTTCCAAGACTCTCTGAAATGACAAGAAAATAAAGAGGAGTTAAGAAATAAAATGCAAAGGAGAAAACAGATCAAGGGTAATTTGGGGGGTGCCCCATTTTGCTGTATTTTAACAAAGTGACGATGCTGCCCAGAGTGAGCGCTTGGCAATAGCAATTCTCTTTCAAACCCCTGGGCCCCTTCTAGTCAAATCCTCCTAGAACACCGAACTTTTACAGCTCTTTCTGACAAAGATGTGTTTTTCAAAAGAAAATACTCTGCAAAAAAGACCCCAAATAGCCACAGCAATCCTGAGAAAGGAGAACAAAGTTGGAGGGGTCACAATACCAGATATCAAGCTATACTACAAAGCCACGGTTCTCAAAACTGCCTGGTACTGGCACAAGAACAGACATATAGACCAATGGAACAGAACAGAGAACCCAGAAATAGACCCAAGCCATTATGATCAATTAATATTTGACAAAGGAGGCAAGAGCATACAATGGAGTCAAGACAGTCTTTTCAATAAATGGTGCTGGGAAAATTGGACAGATACATGCAAAAAAAAAAAAAAATGAACTTAGATCACCAACTTACACCACACACAGAAACAAACTCAAAATGGTTAAAGGACCTAAATGTAAGATGGGAAACCATAAAAACCTTAGAAGATTCCATAGGCCGCAAAATATCAGACATATGTCGTAGCAATATCTTTACTGATACAGCTCGTAGGGCAATGGAAACTAAAGAGAAAACAAACAAATGGAACTACATCAAAATAAAAAGCTTCTGCACAACAAAAGAGACTATCAACAAAACAACAAGAAAGCCCACTGCATGGGAGAACATATTTGCCAATGCTCTTTCAGATAAGGGTTTAATCTCCAAAATTTACAGGGAACTCATACAGCTTATCAAAGGAAAGATAAACAATCCAATCAAAAAACGGGCAGAGGGCCTAAGTAGACACTTTTCGAAAGAGGACATAGAGAAGGCCAAGAAACATGAAAACATGCTCAAAGTCGCTAATCATCTGAGAGATGCAAATCAAAACAACAATGAGGTACCATCTCACACCTGTCGGAAAGGCTATCATCAACAAATTAACAAAGGATAAGTGCTGGCAAGGATGTGAAGAAAAAGGAACCTTCATGCACTGCTGGTGGGAATGCAGGCTGGTACAGCCACTGTGGAGAACAGTATGGAGTTTCCTCAAAAAATTAAAAATGGAACTCCCATTTGACCCAATAATCCCACTTCTAGCGCTATATCCCAAGAAGTTAGAAACACCAATCCGAAAGGATATATGCACCCCTATGTTCATAGCAGCACAATTTACAATAGCTAAGATTTGGAAACAGCCTGAATGCCCATCAGCAGATGAGTGGATTAAAAAACTGGTACATCTACATAATGGAATACTATGCTGCTATAAAAAAGAAGGAACTTTTACCATTTGCAACAGCATGGTTGGACCTGGAGAGCATTATGCTAAGCAAAATAAGCCAGTCAGAGAAAGATAAATATCACATGATCTCACTCATATGTGGGATATAATGATCAACATAATTTGATGAACAAAAAATAGATCCAGAGACAAGGTAGCACTGAACAGATCGTCCAACCTCATAGAGAAGGTAGGGGAGAGAAGGGGTTAGAGATCAACCAAAGGACTTGTATGCATATATATTAGCATAACCAATGGACACAGACACTGGGGTGGTGGGGGCATGCCCTCATGGGTGGGAGTAGGGGGGGTCAATTGGGGGTAAAGGAGACATATGCAATACTTTAAACAATAAAAAAAAGAAAGAAAATACTCTGGTAGGAGCAATTTTCTGTGTGGACCCAAGTTTGTCAAAACTTACTTTCTTTAAGTAATTATCCTTTTGTTTCTAAATATGAAAATAGGTTTCTCCTTTCCCTGCCACACTGGAACCCTGCCCTGTTTGATGAAAACAAGTAACTTCCTGTTCATCTGACCAGAATTTGACATGAATGTGCTGTTCTTAATCACCCATTGTTATTTTTTAAGAAAAAAAAAAAGGATCTATTTTCATTACAGAACATTACTTATCATGGGGCTTAAAGACAAAAATTTCACTCTCTCTAACAGCTCTGTCGTTATAGAAGAGAATCTCATTTCCATTTTGCAGAGAATAAACTAAGCCTAGCCCTGGTTGGATGGCTCCATTGGTTGGAGCATCATTCTGTACACCAAAAGGTTGCAGGTTCGAATCCCAGTCAGGGCACATACCTAAGTTGTGTGTTTGATCCCCGGTTGGGGTGCTCACAGGAGGAAACCAATTAATGTTTCTCTCTCACATCTCTCTCCCTCTCCCTCTCCCTCTCCCTCTCCCTCTCCCTCTCTTTAAAATCAATAGAAAACATGTCCTAGAGTGAGGATTAAAAATAAATAAATAAGTAAACAAACAAACTGAAAACAGATTTGACTGCTCAATACCATACAGAAAATCCATGACCAAAGCAAGGTCAGCTTCATCAGCTCAGTTTCCCATCTGTTTCTCAGCCCTGTGTCTGAAGTTCCCAAGGTGTACTGTGGCATACCCTTCCTGAGGGAACCTGAGCACTTCATTCCGTTTGAGGGAGGTGTGGGGAGGTTTATATCTCTAGGTATCAGGGAAAGATAGGTTGTGGCCGAGGACCCAGCCGCCAGAGTGGGAGTGGATAAGGGGGAAGAGCACGGAGCTCACTGGACTCCATGGCAGGGACCCTGGGGCTCCTGTACGGACTCACAGTGTGACCGAGGGTGAGTCATCCTCTCCTCATGCGCGTTTTCCTAATTATAAACCAGAAACTCACTCCCTCATTCGACAAACATCTGTCTGGTGCTGACTACATAGCAGGTGCTCTGCTAGACAAGCCAGAAAGCGGCTACAGTCCTGGCTCCACACGGATTTTGAGTCTAGTGAAGGGAGGACAGATTTACACAACATATATAACCATGTCATTGCAACTCCTGTAAAGAACAGTGACAGGCACGTGCCAGCGGCTATAGAGGGTGTTAGAAGGAAAGCTAACTAATCTGAGGGTCAGGTAGGACTTCCCTGGGAAAGTGACCTAAGCAAGTTGAGCTATAAAGAAAGAAAGACTAGTGTTGGAATGAGGTAGGGAGAAGGAAGAGAGGGGAGTATTCCAGGCAGCGGAACAGCATGCGCAAACTCCCTGAGGCAAGGAAGCATGACTTGTCCAGGGAGCAGAAAAGAGGCCCATGTGACTGACCAGGATTCAGTGACTCGGGAAGAGACTGGCATCAGATGAGGCTACCAAAGTGGTGGCCACCCTGTTATAAAGGATAACAAACAGCATCCACTGTGTGGTGACGGTGCGACAATCACACATCTATGAAAAGGTTTAAAAAGCAGCACCTACCACACTAACATCTGGTATCACCATCACTGTCCAAGCGGCCTCCTGGACAATGCCTTTGGCCTGCCCTCAAAGCAGGAAGCCCAGGAATTAAGTCACCAGTGACCTTCTCCCACTGCCTCCTTGTCAGAGAATTCCCTTCCAATCACAGGGGTCAGGATACTGCGAATTACCAAACCCTCCCAAAGAACTCAAAACCAGTCTAGTCAATTCTTCTCTGCTCGGTTTACCCAGGAAGTCATCAGCTGACAGCACGGAGGAGTCTCTGGGCCAACCTTAGCCATCTAACTGAGGAGCAGCGTCTGCTGGCCATGACCTCTGGCCTGAGCTAGGCGACGCTGGTGCAGGCCCAGAGCAAGCCTCCTAGCCTCCCTGCATCTTAGCCTTTGAGCGGAAAGTGGGAATGTGAGCGAAAGTCAAGCAAGACAAGGACTAGTCAAATGCTCTGCAGCCTTCAGTAAAAGATGTAGTTATTCCGACTGTTCTTACTGTTCATACAGCCATCTTGGAAACTTTCTGAGTCTTCAAGTCATTTAATCATTGTAAGTTCTAAGTGCCTCGAATTTAAAGGTCATTGCCTCTAGCACCTAAGCACAATTTTGACTCCTCTCATTTTTTATTATGAAGATATTTATTATCTGTGACATGGATTCTAGGTTGGAAAGTGAAAGACTGGTGAAGACAGCTGAGCTAGCCTCCAGAAGTGCTACGCGGCCTCAATGTCCAGCAGTAAACTGACTTCTCCCCAGGCTCCATTCCTCCCTCTTCCCATCAGCTTCCTTCCCTGTGTGTCTAGCACCTCCTGTATGTGAGCCAGGCCTCAGATGTGACAGCACCCGCCCTGTGTGTTTGCATTTCCTGCACCAAGGCCCTGATACCAGAAGCCACTCTCCATAACTCGGGAGGAGGCAAGAGTTCCTAACAAACAAAGGCCATATTCAGGGTGAGGGAGGAAGGGGGGTGTCCTGTATTGGGAGTGAAGGGCAGCGGTGTCCAACTAGAGATGCAGCTGATCTCCCCGTCCAAGGACATTATCTGGGAAATGAACACATTTCAAAATAACTTTCTCCCTGTTACTCTAAACCAGTGGTTCTCAAACTTCCTAATGCCGCGACCCTTTAATACAGTTCCTCATGTGGTGGTGACCCCCAATTTCATTGTTACAAATGGAACAAAATTAAAGCATAGTGATTAATCACAAAAACTATGTAATTATATATGTATTTTCCGATGGTCTTAGGCGACCCCTGTGAAAGGGTCGTTCGACCCCCAAAGGGGTCGTGACCCACAGGTTGAGAACCACTGCTCTAAACAGTCTTTACAGTGATGATCACAATGATATGTGGTTGTGTTTTTTAGAGAAGAAATTCTTAAAGATTCCATTATCAGCCCTGGCCAGTGTGGCTCAGCAGATAGAATATTAGCTCACAGACCGCAGTTTCTCAGGTTCGATTCCCAGTCAAGGACATATCCCTGGGTTGCAGGTTCGATCCCCGGGCAGGGGACACACAAGGGAGACAACCAATCAATCTCTCCCCCCGCCCCGCCCCACCCTTCAACTCTCTAAAAATCAATGAAAACAGTATCTTCGGGTGAGGATTAACAAAAAAATTAAAAAGTAAATATTCCATTATCTCTGGTGTGGAACACTGTAGAAATCTCCTGACTCCCCTCCTTCCAATATTGGCCCTATGGGCAGTCTCCCCTCCATGTGGGGGCCAGAGGGATCTTAATGAAACACAAATTCATCGCCCTGATTAAAAATCCTCCATATGACTTCCTTTTTCATTTCTCATGAAATCAAGAGCCTCTTCTCCTATGTCCTGGGAGGCGAGAGTGGTCCGGCCCACTCACCCCTCCAATGCCATCCCAGGCCTTTGTCTCCCTGGCACTGTGCTCCCGCCACACAGGCCCTCTGTTCTTTCAACACCAGCTGAGATCTACCTGTGCCTTCACCCAAACTGTTCCTCTGCCCAGAAAGCTCTTGCCTAAAACCCTCATTTTGCTGGCTCCTTCTCATCCCTTAGGACTGAAGTTAAATGCCAATCTCCCTTACGACACTCCCTAAAATGTTTGTTCTCTTATAACTGCATTTTCATATTCTGTTCTTTTCATAGCACTGGTCCTGAAATGCAACTATTCTCTTGGTTTACTTGCTTTCTGTCTGCATGTCACACCAGAATATAAGGTCTCTCATGGTGGTTTATCTCTTTCCCTGGAACCTAGCACAGTGCCTGCTCAGAGGAGGCACTCAATAAACTTTGGGTGAATAAATGAATGAAAAATACTAACAAAACTGTCCCTAAGCCAATAAAAACATGTACATTTCCTTGGCTTATGGTCCTGGTTTCAGCTTCTAGCACAGTAGATGGTAGCCCAATGCTCTGTACACAGTCGGCATTTGGTTTATATTAGGGATGATGGTGATGATGATGATGATGATGATGATGATGATGATGAGGAGTCCACAGTAACATGCCATAGGTTAGCCCAGTGCTGCCTGAGAACTCAAACCCACCGCCAGCTGTAAAGGGCAAGGGCCACAGACACTAGCAGCGGTTCTCAACCTGTGGGTCGCGAACAATGAAAATACATCCTGCATATCAGATATTTACATTACGATTTATAACAGTAGCAAAATTACAGTTATGAAATAGCAACAAAAATAATTTTATGGCCGTAACCGGTTTGGCTCGGTGGATAGAGCGTCGGCTTGCGGACTGAAAGGTCCCAGGTTCAATTCCGGTCAAGGGCATGTGCCTTGGTTGTGGGCATATCCCCAGTAGGAGGTGTGCAGGAGGCGGCTGATTGATGTTTCTCTCTCATCATGTTTCTGGCTCTCTATCTCTCTCCCTTCTTCTCTGTAAAAAATCAATAAAATATATTAAAAAAATAATAATTTTATAGTTGGGGGTCACCACAACATGAGGAGCTGTATTAAGGGTCGCGGCGTTAGGAAGGTTGAGAACCACTGCCCTAGAGCATCAAGGCTTCTGGGCAATGGTTCTGCCCCACTCACTGATTCAGACACATTACACCAAATGAGCAAAAAATACTCGAATGGGCAATACAGATGTGACCGATGCTGACTTCAAAGATCTGAAAGTCCAATAATACATGAATAGCAAAAAAACAGTACTAGATACCCTAAATGCCAGAGGCAAGAAGAGACTGTCCAGCTGTGGGGAGATGACGAAGGGCTTCGTGGGGAAGGTGGCATTGGAGCCGAGCCTAAACGATGGGTGGGACTGGTGCACGTGGAGAAGGAAGAAAGGCACAGCGGGTAAAGGACACAGCAGACCCCAGGCACAGAGGGAAGAGGCCGAAGAGCAGAGGGGGGACAGGCGTGGTGGGAAATAAGCCTGCAATCCAGGTTTGGAGCAGAGAAGAGGCCCCGGAAGGACACACCTGTCCTTCTGGATTTATTTAGTAGGAAACAAAAGTGTTTTCACTGTTTGTCAGCAACGGGGTGGCACAAGAGGAACTGTTTCGGGATGAAAGATCGGCTAAGAAAGCAGGCCGTGCTGGAGAGGGAAAGGACTGGGGGTGGGACTCGGAGGGATCCGTCCACTCAGGCGCCACTCATTAAATATTAAGTGTGTGCCCGGCACTGTCTGGGTGTTGAGATATATTATGAGCAAGACAGACAAAGACTCCTGCTCTTGAGGAGTTGACATTCTTTTGGAGGAAAACAGAAAACAAACAAAGCACTAGACAGTGGTAAGAGCTGTGGGGGGAGGAAAAGAAGAGCAGAATGCGGGGAGTGCTGGGGAGGGGCGCAGGGCACAGGACGTGGTATTCCATACAGGGGTCAGTGGTCAGGCCACATGCTCCTCAGAGAAAAGGGGAGATGGAAGCCAACACTTGAGGAAGGTGAGGGAGAGAGACAACAGCTGGGGAAAGGGCTCTCCAGCAGAGGAAACACCGGAGCGAAGCCAGAGGCAGGGTGTGCCCAGGGTGCTCCTTAGCAGCACAAAGAGGCCAGGCAGGCGCCTGGAGCAGAGTGAGAAAGGGAACCGGGAAGAGAGAGGTAGAGGACCTTGACTTGCTCTGGGAAAACAGGAGCCCTTGAAGGGCCTTGAGCACAGGAATGACAGGATCCGACTTAGATGTTAGTTAAAATCAGCAGGGGACCATTTAGAAAGGAGTCACGCAGGTCAGATAGGAGATGGGAGCCCAGGGGAGTAGTAGTGGATGCGGCGGGAAGGGGCTATATGCCCCGGGTCTCTGTTGCGGGCACAGTCATGGGATTCCTGGTGAATTGGAGGTTGCCTGGAGGGTGACTCCTACACTGGCCTTGAGGGAAATGTGGGAGGTGCTGAGGAAGAACTGAGGGAACTATAGCTGGGGAAGGGGTGTGAGGCGGGCCGGGTGAGGCAGGGACTCACTTGGCACCAGCCAATGCAGACAACACAGAGGTTTTGAGCCTGGACTATGAACTGTTTGCTGGGGGGGGATTTGTTTTGCTCACCTCAGTGCCCCCAGGACGTAGTGCCATGCCTGTCATACAACAGGCCCCCAAGATAAATTTTGAGTACAAACGCATTTGAGAGGAACAATGCCTTCTTCCCGGAGACATGTTAAATCAGGAAAGAATGTGCCACGAGGGAACTTGAGATGCAGCCCTGGCCCTTGAGAGGACCGAGCCGGTACTAGAGCCCCCAGTGATGCTCCGGGGGCGCCCTCCTCCCCCAGCGGACACAGAAATACCTGTATCTCCTGGATGCTCTCCTCCTCTCTGGTGTCCACCTTCTTCTCAACCCCCTCGCCTCGGAGCAAGGCTTCTAGCGTGGTGCTCTCTGAGGTGAACCCGTCCTTCTTCAGGGGCAGCTCCACTTCTGAAACACAACAGAAAAGCAGGGTCAGGCCACTAGAAGCAGGAGGGACAGGAGGGACAGGAGGGGCAGGAGATGGCCCTTAAGGGCACGCAGGAACCAGAGCTCCTGGCTAAGGCTCGAGGCCGCCTGTGCTCTCTCCTTAAAGTGGAGCAGGACACTGCAGTTGGGTCCAGCTTTTCGGGGTTCAGCTCACAGTCCCTGAGGTCGATTCCAACCCTGCCTGCACCCTCAGAGACGGCAGAGGTAGAGCAGAAAGGGCACCGGTTGGATGTGGGATCAGACAGCCTGGGTCTCAGTCCAGCTTCTGCCACTCTCCAGCCCTGGGGCTTTGGGCAAAGCACTCAAGGACCCCAGAGACCTTTCCTGCATCTACAAAGTGAGGACAGCAGTGCCAAGCACCCCACCTGGCCATTTTGTGGGGCAAAAATGTGCTCCTTTGCATTTAAGTTCTTTGAAAACTCTAACGCGGTGCATCAATGCCAGCCTCACGTCTTATTATTCTCTCCCTCCAGCCCACCTCTCATTCGGCAACTCGGTGACCTCCCCTCAGCCACGCTGGCTGCCAGCTCAGGTCTGCTCCACGAAAAGCTATTTCAACCTCAGAGGCTGTTCTTAACAACTCGCCAGGGAAGCGAAGGCCTGCAAAGCCAAGGGAAGAGAAAGAGCAAGCACAGGTGCCTAACAGGCCCAGGTCCGCAGCTCCGCACACCAGGGCGTTTTTTCTGAAGACATCAGGAGTTTGATCAGCTACCTGGGGCTGGAAGTCAGGGGGCCAGCTGAGCAGTGGCAGCCAGAGCCGGCCCTGCCCAGGAAAGAGACCAGAAAGAGCTGAATCCCTTCCTCAGTATGTCCCCCAAACTGCTAACTCAAAGGAAGGTTTTTTTGTTGTTTCATTAAAAACGGAAACCTCAGGTACAAATGATCATATTTGGACTTAATACAAAATATTCCTCCAACCTCTCCTCCGATCCTGTACCTCGTGCCCACCCTGACAATCAGATGTGAGGTCCCTACTCTGTATCAGATAAAATGGGTGCAAGAATATGAGGGAATGGTACCCTAGAAAACAGTCAGAGGAAATGTATGGGGGGTTGAGAGATTAGTGTAGGGACTCTTCACAGAGGTGTGGGCAGAAGAAGGGAACAAAAGGGAATGGTGAAACAGCCCAGGAGAGTTAACAGTGGGGAGTCATTATCACTGCTATTCCTGGAGGGACAGAGGGGCGTGTTTGTAAGAACCTGGAGGGGGCGCCACAGCAGAGCTCCAGGGCAAGAGCTGTGCTTGCAGCAGAGGAGCCTCCCTCTCTGCTGAGCCTGTAGGTCAGAGGTTCACAGCACCGAGGCAGGGGGACACACAGCCCAGCCTCTCTCTCCTTCCGTCCTCATCTTCCTGCCCTGCCCTCCCACCGGCCAGCCTCAACCAGAAGCCAGAGACCAAGGGATCCGTGTTGATGCAGTCCACGGAGGTCAACTTCCTGGAGCCCAGGATGGTGTAAAAAGGGACAAAGAGTGGATCTGGGGGAGCAAATGGGAATAACCAGCAAGATCAAGCCCCACTTCCCTGGGCTCTCTTCTGACTCAAATGGAACTCTACCTACCCCTTCTACTCCTCCACCAAAACCAGATGCAGGCTGACCAGTCCACAGGGAAGGGGCACTAAGCAACCCATTAAAGTGAAAGAAATACCTATCCATGGTGACCAGCCCCAGAAGAAAGTGGGAAGAAGGAACAGTATCTAATGTCCCTTGCGAGGCAAGGTCTCTGGGATTTCTCATACCAATAAAGGCAAGCAGAGGATCCAGCTCCATCAAGAAGCAATGCCACCAAATCAACCACCTCTGAAACTCATCCATCCATCTAGTCATGCAACAAATATTTACCAGGCACTGCCATGTGACCACTGCTGTGTTGGAACTAGGTACACAGGAGGGGAGCCAAACACAGACAGTCCTGGCCTTTAGGTAGTTTATAATCTACAGAGGTAGACATTGAACACTAAATCCAAAATAAACATATGCCATTACAAACTGTAATAAGGGCTTTGGAGGAACCCCACGGAGTGAAATGTGAAGGAAGAATAGGTGGGGGTCTGTTTAGATCACAGGGTCAGGGAAGGCCTGTGTGAAGTTACACTGAAATTGAGTGTCAGAAGAAGTCAACTGTCTGCTTTAATGAGTTCAGAGTGTACAACTTCAGAGCCTGCTCCAATGACATATTATTCTTCCTCCCAAGTCAGAAAAGGCTTCCAAAGCCAGGTCTAAAACAATTAAAGTGTGCCGCCTCATGTCCTATCCAAGGTCAAAAGAGAACAGCTGCTCACCATCCCTCAAACTTACAATAATCATTCATATCTACATATTTGAAGTTCATATTTTAGTATCCCCTTAGTCTTCTCAACACTAAATAAACCTTACTTCCAGAATTGTACATTTTGAGCTGAAAAAAAACCTTACAGATCATCTGTTTTAATCATCTCATTTTATAAATGAGTCACTTGAGAGGCTCAGAGAAGTAACTTCATCTAAAGTAACACAGTAGGCCCAACTGGCGTGGCTCAGTAGTTGAGTGTCAACCTATGAAACAGGAAGTCACAGTTCGATTCCCGGTCAGGGCGCATGCCCAAGTTGCATGCTTGATCCCCGTGGGGGGTTGTGCAGGAGGCAACCAATAGATGATTCTCATCATTGATGTTTCTATCTCTCACCCTCTCCCATCCTGTCTGAAATCAATAAAAATATTTTTTAAATAATAAAATAAAGTAATACAGTAGGGCAAGAATGCAACCAAATCTTTTCTAGAGGCCGTTAAGATCATGACAAGAGCTCCACTTAATGCATCTTCATTAGTAGTTTGCAGGCCCAGGCTGAGCCCTAATGACCCTAGTGGGTGTTGATATCTGTGTGTATATGCAGGATGCTTGGCACACAGTAAACATTCAAAATGCAGCAGCTGTCATTGCTACTTAATCCCCACCACCACCCAAGAGGAAAGTACAGTGATCCCATTTTATAGATGCAGACACTACAGGTTAGGGAGGTGTAGAACTTGCTTAATATCACACAGCTGCTAAGGGATAAAGTCCGCCTTGACCCCAATCTATCTCCAGAACCCATTCACCTAATCTAATTGTACAGACTGCGCCTTGCCTCTCTTGAAAAGTCTTTCTCCAAACCTTTGCACATTTCCACTGCATTCCTAAGCTCTCTCCATAGTTTTCCTACTTTGAGATAAAAGGCAGATCTCTGCTGAGGTGGAGGGCAGGTTTGTGCCATGGCTCTGGGCTGTTCTAGCTGAACATTCCCATGTGGTGTTCACTCTGTCACCACAGTACTGATCTCATATAGAATTTCTCATCAACTGAACTTCCTCCTCCTCCTTCTCCCTCTTACTCCCATGCTAAGTATTCCTCCATCCTGCTTTCCTATAATTCAATCTATTCCCTTGGTCTTCTAATCCTTTACCAGATGGGCACAGCAGAAGAATCAAGAGGGGAAAGAAAACCAAAATGGCAACAATGAAATGAGCTAGAAGGAACCTCCAATAGCATCTGAAGTCCAACCCCTTAATGAGGAAAGTGGACACAGAGAGACTAAGGAGACTTTCCCAGGGTCACAGAGAAATATAGTGGCATCATTCTTGCCTGACTATCAAGATATTTCACTGGCTCCTAGAAGTTCTTTCAAGCAGCCTTGGAGTCAAACCCTAGCCTTGCCATATATTGGCTAGTTACGTAAACCTTAGAGTTTCCATTTCCTTTTGTGTTAAGTGGTTATGGTCATACTATTTCACAGTGTTGGTGTGAGAATTAACAAGTTAATACACCACATATAGAAACTGAAAAGATCCACACACAAAACTAGTGTGAGAAACAGAGTGGAAACTGAGACGTATCAATTCTTGTGCTGGTTTTTCGATTCAAAATTTAAGATTCAAAATTAGATCATATATGTAAAGAGCCTGGGATGTTCTAAGTGCCCTCTAAATGCAACATATTATTATTACAAAAGTTTGAATAATAATGATTTTAATGGTACAGCAGCACTATCCAATAGAAACATAAGGCAAGCCACTTACATCATTTAAACTTTCTAGTAGCCACATTTTAAAAAGTAAAGAGTGGAGATTTGAACATGGCGGCATAGGTAAATGTCTGTACTGGCTGCCTCCCACAACCACATCAAAATTACAACTAAAATACAGAACAACCATCATCCAAAACCGCTGGAAAGCTGGCTGAATGGAAGTCCTACAACTAAAGTAAAGAAGAAAGCACACTGACACTGGTAAGAAGTGCGGAGGCACGAAACAGGCTGGTGGGCTATTCCGGCCCCCACATGTGCCACTTTTTTAATCAGAAGGGATATCATCTCTGTGGAGGCGGCCTGGAGGACCAAGTGATCCCAGCCCCACACCAGACCCCCAGCCCAGGGTCCCAGAGCTGGGAAAAGAAGTCCCTAAAAGCAGTAAGAATTACAGGATATAAAAACCAGTGCAGCCGAAACCGGTTTGGCTCAGTGGATAGAGTGTCGGCCTGCGGACTGAAAGGTTCCAGGTTCGATTCCGGTCAAGGGCATGTACCTGGGTTGCGGGCACATCCCCAGTAGGAGATGTGCAGGAGGCGGCTGATAGATGTTTCTAACTCTCTATCTCTCTCCCTTCATCTCTATAAAAAATCAATAAAATATATTTTTTTTAAAAAAAGTGCAGATTGGAGCTCAGTGACACAGAGGCTGCTGGAGACCCAGCTGTTCCTCTTAAAAGGCCGGCACCACAAAATAAATTTACAAGGTCCTATGTCCTCTGAGCTCCAGCACCAGGGTGAGGCTTTGGAGAGCAGAAATATATATGAGGAGGAACTGGATTGTGTGGCATCAGGGCAGGAATTCAGGGCAGCTTTTTCCCAGATGGAGGTGCTCGAAGGGGTCATTGTTCCTATGCTAGAACCTCCCTGGAAGCAGGGCTGACTGGCAGCCATTTCTGTTTGCTCCACCCTAGTGATTT